TATATATATATATATATATATATATATATATATATATATATAATTTATGCGGATGAAAATCATAGTCACTATATGCACATACGTCGGGCTGCCTGCATATTTTATAATACAACAGAAAAATGTAGCTAAAAAATATTTTGAAATACATGAATTATCTCACAAGGTACACGGCGGCACTACTACTAAGTCGTTAATTATTCCTCGCGAACGCTTTCTTTTCGTGGCACGAGAACGGAATTCTAATATATTTACAATGAGTTTATTCACGATAGACGTAACGGGCGTAACGAGTTCGTCATGAATCGCGTGTCTATTTAACGCGGGGTTACATATGTATATATGTTACAATCTAATTCAATAGAATAAATTCGGAGTGTACATATGTCAAACTCCCGTCTCTCGTAAGTACAAAAATATTACATAGTGTACATCGTACGAATATGTAAGGTACAGCTTAATTTTCATACTGGCTCGCACATTCATAAATACGTACATATATACAAAGTTCCTCTTTAAACAACTATATATTGTCGTAGTTGATAAACGAAGATAACGCTTTGCTTACAGTAATACTGTCTGTGAAACGAAGGCGTCGGTGTTTTCACTATTAATACTGATGTTCGTTAAGGAAGGAGAGAAAAGACCGAATCCAACTGTCATTCGTATCGTCGTCCAAACTTAAACGCGTTCAGTATCGATTCAGAGTCTCGATTGATACATTCGTGTATTCTGCAACAGCAATACATAGTATTTAGTAAATTATTATACACCAGAAAACCCGAAGCCACAAGTGCTGTGGAAACCCTACTATAAAAGAATCGATTTACCTTTAAGGCAGTCGTTGAGCTCAAGTTCGCTGGAACTGCACGTGAGGCTTGACGGTTTCACGCCTTTGAAGATCTGGATAACGCTTGGCTTTAAATTGTGGAAGATCAATGGCTGGCCACGCTTCGCGAAATCCTCAATCAAAGTCTTAATACCCTGAGAAAAGAGAAAAGTTGATAATTAACGATGATATATTTGTTTAATCCTTGATATATCATCAGAATCTACTTAATCTAATTTAAAAATGTTTGAATTTCTTCTTTGAATAGTTTTACTAAATTTACTCTTTTCCTTAAAATAGAATAAGATTCATTCTATTTCGCAATTACCATATAGTATAGTACTATCAAGTGCTAATTAATATAATGCCAAAGCATACATATTATGATATTATGATTGTTCCCTAGCGGCCTATTTACCTTTGCGGCTGTGAAATCGGCCACCTGGATATGTGTGGAGTCTATCACAACGGGCACGGCGGTGCCTTCACGCATCCCTTGCTTGCTGATGACGGCTCGTACGTATTCAACGCTCGGAAACACCAGACTGCGATCCGGTGTTATGACAAGATATTCACAGCCGCTGACGCTCTGTAAAGAGAACGCGTCAATGCGCATTCTGTAAGTTTGAGATCTTCAGAGCATGAAAAAATGCTTCTCAAATATTAATTTCTTTTTTACATAAGGTAACTAAACGTATTATATTGAAACAAATGCAAAATTAAGATAAGTCAGATGTTTGAAAGCTTGAGAGAAGGTAAAACCGACTTTTGATTTAATTCGCTATTAAGACACTTCCTAATGATAGAAAACGCGTCTAATACATCAAATTTTATGTAGTAAAGACATAGTAGTAAAGATGTAGATCTTGTAGTAAAGATGTAGTAAGAATTTTAATAGTAAAGACTCACCGTAGCTTTATGGACTCGTAATGTCGGTCTGGCCGAGGCATAAAGTAGGAACAAGAGATTTATACCAATACCGATTACTATGCCCAGCTCAAGTCGCACGAAAAGGCAGCACAGGAACGTGACTATGGCCGGTATGAGATCAATTTCTGGAAAAAGAAAAAAAACGACAATGCAATTAGTAACAAAATCATTACGCTTTATGGTGTAACTTTGTACCGCATCGTGTAAGAGAAACAACTTACTCTTGGTTCGCCACATAGGTTTTACCACGTGAAGCTCTACCATGAAAACGACCGCAGCGATGATGACGGCCGCCAGGGAGGCCTTGGGAATGTAATATAGATAGGGTGTGAGGAATTGCAATGATATAAGTACCAGGAGACCAGTGTAGACTCCACCGAGCGTTGTCTTCACTCCAGACGAATGATTGACTGCACCTCGACTGAGGCCGCCGCTCACGGGCATCGACGATACAAAGGATGACAGCACATTGCACGCACCCAGTGCCAGCATCTCTTGAGTTGCGTCGATCGACTTGCCATCAGCTATATATGTGTAACATAAATCCATTATTTTTTTTGAAGAAGAAAAATTGCTCCGATGAAACATCTCTATTCTTTAGGTATTCAAATTATTTTAAGTGTAAATCATCAATTTTATAAACCTATTTTATGAAACTTAACAACTTTACAAGTTTTACAAGTTTTAACTTTACAAGTTTTATTTCACTATTATGCATTTGATTGTTATTCGAGAGAAGAAATTTCTTTCCCGACGCGTTATGAAAGTTTATACTATGTAGAATAGAGTTTTCTTACAGAATACTTTGGCGATAGAAATGCTTTCCAGCAAACTCAGCATGGGAATGACCACACAGCCGGAGCCCAGAGACGAAATCATATCAAGGAAGGTGTAAGTTTCATTTCCTATACGAGCTTCGAAAGGCGGCAGACGAAATTCCGGTAGTCCTTGCTTTACATGACCTGTTAAAATCACGGGTGACTCTCCCAGGTGAATCTCAAGGGCCCAAGCCATTATAGCGCAAATGATTACTATGATGATATTCCTGGCTGTGGAGAGCAGCCAGAGTAGCTTTGAAATGGCTTGTTGAAGTTGCGACGGCACTTTGGTATTTTTTGGTATCACTGGAAGGTCCTTAACTTTCTGTAAATGCAAGAAAAATATCAATTATCCTGATCAATGTTTCGATTTTTCCATTATTAATATGAATAATGGCACAATGGAAATTGTTTCGGACAAATTTTTCTTTTCTATCCAGATCTTCCAAAATATTCACGTAATTTAAACAAGTCAAGGTTGAAGCGATAAAACGTTATCGCACCGTTGGTATTACGAGCAAAAAGATCGCCGGCTCTAAACGATAATTGCCTTCTCACCGTGGCTGTTTCCCGAGCTAATAATCAATATCGCAAACAATATCGTCCTATCGACTCGTAAGATGACACGCCTGCGGGCGATGGAGCTTGAAAAATAACGATTCGTCGTAACGACAATTGTGACTATGAAAACAGCGGTGATCTACTTCGTGATTATAACAGAGTTCGAAGAACCAATGAAGTAAAATAGCGTAAACCCAGACTTGAGTCATCGAGCGAAACGTTGAAAAAGATAATTCCGGAAAAGACGTGGCAAGTTATATAAATCTCGTCGAATTCAGTTCTCTCGACGTTTGCAATTAAATATAGATTTCCCGTCTCTCTCCACGAATACATTTGGAAATTGGTATTGGTTAAACTTTACCTAACTCGAACTAATATTTACGTTCACGAGCCGTAATAAATGATCGAAATGGGAACGCAGCTCGATCATTTATTTCGCGATGGCGCATTAGCCATTTAAATGCTGCAAACACTGAATAACGAGTGAGTGCTAGATAGCTTGTTGCAATTTAATGCCGTCGCGCTTACCCGTAGAAGCAGCAGGACAATTATGCAGACGACTCCCAAAGCGGTGTCCCAGAGCCGCGTCTCGCCGATCTGCTCGAATATATCTCGCCAGACTTGCACAAATTTGCCACTGGATACATGGACCCCGAGAATGTCTTTCACCTGGCTGGTGGCGATAATGATTGATGCCGCCGACGTGAAACCGACAGACACTGGCCCCGATATGAAGTCCAACAGGAACCCTAATTGTTGGACAATACAAAAAGTTATTTTGCACTGAGAGAAAAATGTACGATATTTGGAACTATAATGGCATAGTAAAAAGATTATAGTTAGGAATATCATTTTTACAGTAAATGTCAGCATAATATTTATAATATTTACAATATAAGCATAGTGTAACTGATTCATGTAAAATTTTTACCAAGAATATATTATTTAAAATAAAAAACACAGTAAGGTAGCAAATATTAAATGGTAAGGGAAATTAACAATTTTATATAGTCAGTACAATTGGAATATTTGGAAAATATGGGTACATGTAATTATATCTCCAAAGCGTACTTTACTATACACATAGAGTCATAAGATGGTGACTATAAATCTATGTTTATTCTGCTATATCTTTGTATTTAGATGAACTATAAATATTTGAGGCCCAAACGAACTATAAAATATAGTGAGATAATAGTTATTCCAACTATTTTTTTCTCTCAGTGTGGGAGTGGCTTCGAGTGGGAAAGATATGTGAAATATCAAGCAACAAGGTTGTAAACGACAAGTGAGTACCATGCGACGTTACCTAATTGCAAGATGCCCATTAGCAAAGAAACGCAGCCCGAGATGAAGGCCAATAATACAGCGAAATCGGGTCCTAGGTGCGCTCTCTGGAGAGTTTCTCTCGTCATGATCGCGACGATTGCAGTCGGCCCTACAGGTACGTCCTTGCAGGAGCCAAAAATTGTGTACACGAAACACGCCATGAAGGACGAGTAGAGTCCATACTACAAATCCAAACGGTGTATTCCCTTTATTTTAATCTAATATCTTTAGTATATCATATAAATAATACTCCGCAATATAATATTATCGCAATATAATATTATAGATGAGAATTTTTGAAATTTTATACATACCCCTCATAAAAACTAGAAATCTGTAAATTGTTCAAGTCCCGTAAAATTCAAGAAACTTTTTACGAATTTCTCAAAATTATACACGCATCTCTACCGATCCTTCCGAGTCATGTATGGAATTATAAGTTATATCGGAGTTTCCTTCTGAGAAAATTTTCTCTCATTCCCCAATTTTCACGCGCATCTCAAACTACACGTATAAAATATACGAATAAAGATCTGCTTTAATTTTATATCAGTTCAACGTTTCCTGTATACATTAAGTGATAGCCTCAGATAAATACTGATTTAGCCATCACACATCTTGACTTCGAAATTGCGTGTCGTGACACGTTTTCATTAAAGGTGAGACGCGATTAAAACGTGAGAAAAGAGTCAGCTAATTCTCGTGCTAGGCACTGGTTTCGAAAATGTTTATTCATGATCGGCGCATAGCCTGTTCGTAGTCAAGACTGATAGTATATATAAATCGCTATAGGAGAGCAGATGTTTTGACGGGTCAAACGGGCTTACTTGTAATGGTATTCCTGCGACGTTAGCGTACGCTATTGCCTGCGGTATGACGGTGAGTCCCACGGTAATGCCGGCCACTAGATCGCTCACCACATACTCCTTCTGATAATGCGGCAACCACGCCAGGATCGGTATCCTTTTGAACAGCAGCTTCCTCTTGAAGGAACTCTTGATTCGCCGATATAGCCAGCTTCTTCCGGAGGAACACAGGATATTCTTGTTGGTATTTTCTGGCACTAAAAGGAAAACAAGAAAAATATTATCGATATTAACATTATTTATCAAAACAAATACCAACCGGTTTTGGGACATATTCGTGGAATATATTTGTGAGAACATTCTTACAGTTGAGATATCTTCCTCGCGAGAAGGCTCGGAGAATATAAGTAGAATCTTTCTTTATTGCGATCGAGTAATAAATATTTCCTTCACTCTCGATGAAATTTATCGTCTGTCGCTTTTAATTATGGCGCTCTGTTGTATTCTACGAATATACATGCACGAGTCGTTTACTCGCAGTTAAGAGATGTCACGCATTACAAGACAGCAATTATACTTTTTTTCATACTTTATGAAACGTAATAGCGGCCGCTTCGAGCGCATTGCATTTTGTCACTCGTCAACGCGTTATCGATGCGGATGATAGTGGCGTAATTTATTTTGTATTTTTCTTTTTCTCACCTCGTTTTATGTTTTTTTTCAATCGCTTGATCGTAGTCGACCCGTGGTAAAAGGAAGAAGAGCCTAAGTCGAATGAACAAAGATAAATTGGCGCCACACCAAAGAAAAAGCATTTGAAAATTTATTTTTGTGGGATATAAAGTTTACTTCTGTGAAATAAAGTTTCTTTCTATGAAGTATGGTTTTTATATCCCACAAATGAATTTTCATGTATTTTTTCCTTAGTACGTGGCACGCCATGCACATCCAAAGAAAAATATACGTGTACTCAGAGAAAAAAATGATGATGGTAACTACATGAGCTTTATATGAAGAATTGCAATTAGATAATTTAATAGATATTTTGTATACTGAGAAGAAAATACCTGAAAATTTATTTATGGGATATAAAATTTATTTCTCTAAAGTAAAGTTTGTTTTCGTTAAAAGAAAAACTTTTGTATGCCACAAATAAGTGTTTAAGTATTTCTTTTTCCGTAGTAAAGCTTTAGTACTAAAGCTTTAGTTGCAATAACTGAAAAATATTTAATTAAGCTACATATACATTAATTTTGCATACAAAAGTCAGTTGTCACTTATATAGTTACTATTGTTATGTCTTTTTTTCTCTGAGTGTGTTGGACACGCGTTGCTCGAGCAGAGTCGACAATTCCCGACGCGCTTTTCTAATAGTGGTCCTTAGAAAGTATCGCGCAAGATGCGAGATAACGGCGGCACGATCGATATTGTAACGAGAGTGACGCGTAATGCGCACACGACATCGGTCCCTTATTTCTTCGAGTTTTGCGCCGTGAAGCGAAGGGGTTGCTCACACGAAGGGGTTGCTCACAGCTTGGCTGACACATTTTAGATGCAAAAAACGATGAGAGAATCATACTAGCGGTGTGTGAGATGTTATTTTTCCTCGCATCTCACACACCGCTCGAATTCTCTTTCCTTTTCTCTCTCTCTTTCTTTCTGTCTCTCTCTCTCTCTCTCTCTTTCTCTCTCTCTCTCTCTCTTTATCTCAACACCATCCTATTATTAATTACGATCGAGGCGCGGAAGTTAGCAACGGAGCAAACGCAATTAACGCGATTTCAATCGGGAAGATGCAACGCGAGGTGAGGAGAGCAGAGGCGAGGTGAGAAGACACGAGTCCACATTAACTTGTGTTGCGTCTCCTCGAGACGATTACGCGAAGTTCAAGGATACGAAGCGCGACGCGCGTGCATTATCTCTCACTTGGACACATCTTGGGGCGAGACGTCGATCTCCACGCATCTCGTGTACTTCCGGCGCGCAGCACGACGTTACGTGTGCGTTCGTGTTGTTATCCTTTCTTTTTACGACTTCTTATCATGCGATTGCACTTGATGGTTTACACGAGAAGCGCGCGTCGTAATGTTCGTTAGTGCGCTATAATACCGGCAGTAAGATGCCGTACAAAGCGTAATAAAATAAAGTGCTGTCTCATTCCTGACGGGGAGGGCAAGGGGGCGGGGGAGTAATGAAACCTAATCAACCGCGAATGGTCCACAAATGTAGCGGTGCATTACACCGTCGCGTGGTAATTAATTAATGCTTGGTTCGCAACAGGCGAGTCGCCAGGTACACGCGCATCCATCCATCCGATGTGTATTCAACGGCGCGAGCCAGGCCGGGTGCCGGCATCGCATCTCATTATCTCTTCGCGCAGATTTCGCGCCGTCTACCATCGCCGATAATCCGATAATCGAAACTGCGAAACGCGACTAGCTCGGCGCGTTAAGTTCGCCCAATTAAAGTTTTAAGTATACGTGAAACTTTGCGCCGCGGATTTTACACGGCATTAATGCTAATCGGGCTATAATTCACAGAGCTACAAATCAAACTGTCGAGCTGCAATTCTTCTCGTTACGGATAAAGAAAAGAGAAAACAAGTTATTGAAGAAAAAAGAGAAAAAGCACAAGTTCCCTTTTCAGACTGCTCTTTTATATTAATTTTAAAATTAACTTTCTTATATTAATTTTATTAACTTTATTACATTTGAAATTAATTAATAACATATTAATTAATCATATTAAACCTCGAATTTAGTAAATTATTAATTTTATATTAATGTGCCAATTTCTCTTTTTTGCATGTACCGAAAAAATTATAATCTTATTTTTAGAGAGTATCTTCTTATATATGGCCTCGAAAGGATTTCTCTAAAACCAAAAAAATAATACTCTAAGCATAATATTTTTAAAGCTAGAGACATTTCATCTCTTATTTTCAGTATAAATTTTGCTCTATATCGAGAAAAAATATTTGAAAATTTATTTGTGGGTTATAAAATTTCTTTCTGTGAAGTAGTTTTATTTCTATGAATAAATCTTATATCCTACAAATAAATAAATTTTTAAATACTTTGTTTCCAATATAAAAAGTAGAAATTTCTTCTAGTAAAAGAGTATTTGAAGTATATGTATTTCTCTTTATTGAAAAGATAAAATGGAAAAAATAAATGGAAAAACATATCATTAACTAAATAATATCTGCTAGATTTTCGACTAATAGCTCACTTTAATAGAAAAGGAATATGGCACACTGAGAAAAAAATTCTTAAAAATTTCTTCGTGGGATATACAAATATTTCTGCGAATAAACTTTATATCCCACGAAGGAGGAGTTCTCAAATATTTTTTCTCAGTATAAGAGTTCTCGCTTAGAATATGGGATTACAGAAAAAATATGGTATTACGTTGCAACTAGAATTCTTTTTTTGGATGTTGGAATATATATTTTCCTTGTGGCCTTAGAAGAATCCTCTTGAGGTTGTGTACAAGAGGATATTCGCTAAGAATGAGATTAAGTAAAATATTAATAATTACAAAACATTGCGTTTGTGTAATCAGTCACAAAGATAATCGACATTTATCGTAGTGTATGTGCGTACATTTTTCGAAATAGCAAGATTATGAATATTATACTATATTTTTATTTTCGACTACATGTAAAATTTCTCATGTCCACTAAAACTTGCTGTAACGTCGAATAAATTACAGTTAAGCTATCGCAATCAACATTAGATACGTAAAGTAAGTATGTAAATTGTAATATAACATGCATTTTTATATTCATTTTCACTATTTGTTTATAAGTACTATTATAATCGTCTTTCACTCACATTTTGGGTAAGATGGCCCACTATCATTCTAACATTTATAAAATAAAAGTCGTTATATTTCAAAAATGATTTTCAATATTACAGTAATTAAATCTTATGTGCAATATGTTTTAATCAAAAATTAGATTTAAAATTTAAAGTTTTGTAATAGAGGTTTCTATTTTATATGTATATTATATTTTTTACAAATAATATATATTAAATATCCTATACTAAAATGAATATGTCAAATTATGTTTTTTTCACTATTTTATAAAATAATAGATACAGAATCTTGAACATAAAATATGTATGGGTTATCTATTCCATATGGCTATTTTGTCTTAAACATTTAGGTAAGATGCTCATGTTTTGATATTTTTGTAATAAATAATTTCACTGAAGTATTTTTCTTTTAACTCTGATGGTATTATATACTGTAGTCTTCAGTGAAGTAATGTGCCAAACGCTATTAAGAAATAACAATAAGAAATGTATTTTTTTGCATTTTAGAAAAGTATGGCCATCTTATCCGAGTTTACCCTATATTTTTTGCGGGCGCGAAAAATAGAAAGAAAAATAGAAAAGAGGGAAAGAGAGAGGGAAGAGAGAGGGAAGAGAGAGAGAAAGAAAGAGAGAGATACGATGACAAATACAACTCTCGCGTCCAATGGCAATACACGACTGACTAAGCGTAATGAAAATTTTTAATGATTTTCTTCAGCATGGCATGAGTCGCGTCGAGAGACGGATATGCGAAACGCTAAGTATTTCACAGTCGTTCATCGATAAAGTCGTGTCATGGATTTTCTTTGTCCTCGATTCGCAATGTGCGATGTAATTCAAACGATCTCTCATGTGCACGAAGTGTTTACGCGATAGAGAGACAATGCTGTGATCGATAGTGATCTATTGATCTAGATATTCTAAGAGAATATGTAAAATTGAAAATAATGATTTATTCACGTCTTATTATTATGCTCGCGATCGAGACGAGTGAGGCGCATTCTTGTCGACAAATCGAATTAAAGTCTGAAAAGAGCTGACGTAACGGTGCTGATTGTTGCGCTATTCGAGGACGGGAATGTTAATTGGCAATATATTTTTTTGCGAGCCGGTTATTGTGTGCCTCGAAATATTTGTCCCTCATTTTCTTTCTCTCCCCCGCTCTGTACGTCAATCAACACACTGACAGTGCAAAGATATCGCCGAAATGTCACCACCTCGGCGGATGCTTAAACAACGCGCTGTTTTCCCGGTGCATTGCACCGCGTTCTTCCTTACTCGTCGTTCGACGTCCCCGTTTGTTATAAATCAATCAGATCGCGTGCGCTTCCGATCACGAGCACATTCCGCGATCTTGCCATTCTTTCTCGACGGGACGACTGTTGTCGCAGCTGCGCTCGGTTTCTGCGTCACGAGAAAAATCGCCCTCGCGGACGGTTATTATTATTTTCCGGCGGTGCAAAAACGTGAGCGCGTGCGTTTCCCCGCGCTCCCACTCACGCGGAACGCGCTGTATTTATCGGAGAATGAAAATTATTGCGATCGACGGCTGCGTGCCGCCGAAGCGCGTGGGAATAATAATAATATATACGTTGTATGTGCGTTCTCGTAATAGTATTATACGAACGCGTACGCGCGACGCCCGGCGAGCTGACTGCGATATAGCGGGGCGACGTGCCTTGAAACAATTTTTCCGACTGCGAATTTATAAAACGCTAAAAACGACCGTGCAACCGTGAAAGTGAAGGTCGGTGTATAGTGCGGCCGATTATTTTTGCCAATTTTTGCCGGGGTCCCTGTCGTTCCGCGCCGCGCATGACACGGTGTCGCGTGTTGACTCATATAAATATAAACGCGGGCGCCAGCACACACCTAGCATACACACATACACACATATATATATACACATATATACACACACACACATACACACATACACAATGTACACACACACACACACGCACATACCGATTATTTTCCCATCCACTTTCGCGCCGGCATTGTTCAACGGCAGAATTTCGCATGATCGCATCGGCAATGAGTTTTCGCACTTGGTTTTTTCGAAAAGCGTAACGTTATGCGAGAAATGTATGACTGCGGTCGTACGATGTATTTCGAGAGCTTGTAGCACGCGAGAGGCACCGTGTGCAATGGAAAATCCAATCAAATGCAATCGATGTCTAATCGACAGCTGCGAAGATAACTTCTCTTTCCATTGTATTGAATTTTTATCTATGACGAACCGTTTTCGAAATGGCGTTTTTCGCCGACTAAAAACGGTCACCTCTCCGATTACGCCGACATTGAAATATCGGGCGCTGAATTTTACTTTATCGCTATTTTAAATTGCTACAACAACATCCGCAGCAACGTATCGTTTCACGAGTAATCGCGAGTATGATGACTGACAGAATTGCGAGAGAGCCCCTACGGAGTTTTATTAAAATTAAATTGAAAAATTGACCATAATATGGCGAAATATTGCAAAATCGGACGATGAATCGTAGTTTTGGGCTGAATTTAATTTAATTTTATCTCCCTGGGTTTTCGCTTAAATTTCAAATTATAAAAGCTTTATTATTGGATTGTGTAATTTCAGATTTTTCAGATCAAATCAAGCAATCATAATTTCATAAAATTATCCATTTTGATTTCCTGTTCCTCTTGTATACGTTATTTCACAAAATTTTAATGATAAAAAAGCACAATTGTTTCATATTACTTGAAAAATCCAAAATTACTTATTACACAACTCAATATCAATAGCATGACCGATGCTAATCATCTTTTGGTATACTGTTCTGCGAAATAGTAGTTGGCCGTAGTTATGCACGAATGATCCAATTTACATAAAGTATGTTTTGAAAATGGAGATAAAAACTTGATACATGATTTAAAAAGTATAGATAGTACTAAGGTTCTCTTCGCCATCGTCCAAGAAGTCGAACATGATCAATTTTCTCCTCTTTAAGAATATCCATTGACAAACATAACCCTTAAAAAATAACTAAAGAAGATGCAACTAGTAAAAAGTGGCGCAACTAATAGAAAATAAAAACTGTTTTTTAATTAATTTCAGACGGCTATAAGGCTTGGATCTCTTTTGTTTTATGTAGGGAAACTACCCATCAGTAACGAAAATTCAAAAATAATAATTTTGTGGATCATTCTTGCATAATGATCAATTGTAAAATAGAGTCAGTTTAATCCTATTAAAAAGAACATTTCCTTTTGTTCTTCGAGGGACCTCTACATCGAAAAAAATGAAAATTATTTGCAGAATATAAAGTTAATTTTTCTATGAAATAAACTTTATATCGTTTCTATGAAATTAACTTTATATTCTGCAAATAAATATTCAAATTTTTTTTTATTTAAAAAACGTAACCATTAAAGAAAAAAATATTTGAAAATTTATAAAATTTTATAGAAGTAAACTTGATTTCATAAAAACAAACTCTATATCTTATAAGTAAATTTTCAAATATTTTTTCTCAGTGCAAATGCTATTGAATATATTAATTCTTAAAAATAATTGCTTAAAAAAATATTCAGAAACCAGAGTCGGGCCCAATGACACTGATGGCATCGCGGATCAAGTCAGCGATTCTCAGGGTCTCGCTTCGATCGATTCTCAAGACACGATCCTCCTCGCAGCGTGATCAAATATGCAGGAGAGCGAGGAAACGCGATTGCACGAAATAAAGTAGGAAGATGGAAAATCCAAAAGAGCGCGCTGATCGCAATGCACGTAATGCACAATGCGTGATTAATTAACGTCGCCGCCGATAAAACTTACCCTCGAGGTTGACGACCTTCGCGTCTTTGGTGATGGCGTGTGCGCCGGCAATTATGCCGGCCGAATTGCCGTTCAACGCCGGCTCGTTGTTGTTGCCGCCGTTGCTCCGCAGCACGTCGTCGAGTGCGTTGCTGCTGAAGCCGGTCAGGGTGACCTCCCTGCGATTTTCCAGGTCGTACTCCTCGTTGACGTTATACCTGGACATAGTGGCTGGTAGCGTTCACGGCGAATCGACACGGACGTTGAGGACGACGGACGAGAGCGAATATTCGGAGTACCCTCCTCGATGACTTCGACAGCGATGCGTGGCGCCGGTGTGAAGCGGGTGTTTCGTCATCAGGTGGACTCCATCGTCGTCGAGCTTGTTCGCGTAGCGACCCTGAAATGGCGATAAGAAAATAACTAGTTGATCGATTCGTATCATACATACTACAGAAAAATACTTAATAATTTATTATTTATTATTTATGTCAAGCTATTTGTGGAAAACAAAGCCTACTTTCGTGAAATTAAGTTTAATATTGTGAAATAAAATCGTATTTCTAATAAATAGACTTGTATCTCACGAATAGATTTTCGAGTATTTTTTTTCAACGCACGCAACCTACGTGAATCGTTTAAAGAAAAGTACCAATGCCCGGACACGTAGTTAATTCTGAGCATTCTTATTGTTTTGATCTTCAAATATATACAAAAAATATTCTACTGCTAAGAAAAGCGACTACTCAGTTTACTTCCTTTGTTTTAAATAATGGTTAATTTTGACGAGGAATATTTTCTCGATAATAATCTTATAAAATGTGCTCATGAATATACTGAAGCTTTATATATAGTTGCAATAACTACATAAAAATAGTTTATTAAAAAATTACATACGTTATAATTCTATATATTAAATTCATGTATATAAAGTTGTCACTTTATTTTTGCCATTGCCATGTTTTCCTCTGAATATAACAAATAAATCGAATTTTTAGGGGAGAGACTTTTCATATTTTTCCATTGTAATATGATTCTGATTTTAATAAAATTCAGGGTAAAGTATTTACGGTCCAAAAGAACCATTTCGCGATTTTGTATTCATTAAAATAACTACTAGAAAAAAAGTACATGAGCAACATATCCCTGTGAGATCAATTAGACCCGGTCTTCTCTAATTCAATATTCACGATTGAAATGTTAAATCTACTAGGATTTAGAATATATTTTGTATGAGTAAATTTAATCCTTGTGATGAGAGAACTTACGTATGTGTGACAGATCTATGGATACATAAATTTGTGAAATAATATTTGCTCGAATGCAACATACATTTTTCTGTGTGCAAGATTGGTGTCATATCTGGGAATTGGCCCTTCAGGCCTCGCGACATGTTATTCTCTGTGCGTTTTTTCGCCAATTATTACGGCGATTAATCAATCTTGCGCGCATACATCCCTCTCCGTCTGCTCCTTCGAACGACGACCTTCTTACCTTCTTCGGCATAATCGTGTAGTCACGACGATACGGACCCTGGTCGCTCGCGCGACCCTCCTCAAATGGGAGAGATTTCGAGCCCCGGTGCGATTTAATTAAGTTAATTAATCGACTACGTACTCACGTTTAATTACACCAGCGCTCCGGTGCTTTGCGTCCGCCGCGTCCGTCCGGCGAACTTTTCACGGCGCGGGATATAATCATTTCGCGAGACGCGACGCGACGCGACAGGACGGTGAAAGCCAAAGAGTTTTATAAGAGTTTAATCGTTTCTCTCGATAACGCGATGGAGTAATTACGAAATTGCCACGACGGACGTCGTTTCTTGCTGAAATTCGCAATTGCGCGAATATCGGATCAAAAAAGTGTCCACGCCGCCGTCGCGTTCTCTCGTCCAGTAAAACTTCTCCCTGCCTCTTTCGCTCTCTCTCTTTCTCTCTCTCTTTCTCTCTCTCTCTCTCTCTCTCACCCCCTGTCGTTTCTCCATAAAGTAAAACGTGCATCGGCGCGTGTACGTCAAGTCGTGGTTCACAATTGTCGAGATTTCTCAGACGAATGGTAAAAACGTGGCGATGTCGAACAGAGAGCGCGTGGCATAATTGACGGAATTTCGCAATTAGCTTTGCGAAAACTCTCATAAAAGAGCGGATTTCGCCCTAATGGCGAGTACGTGCGTCTGTGTGTACGTGCGTGGCAGATTAAGCGGGAATTTGTCAGAAAGGACATCGCACTCGCGCGCAATCGTGTAGAATGCCAGTCGAGACACGTCCGCAAATTCTACTAAACAATTATCCCGACTCGCTCGCATGCTTATCGACATTCAGATGACGGCTGAATGAAGCGTACCACAAACTCGGCGGAGTTTGCAAGAAGAGGACCACGACAGCGCGAGGGCAACGGGAGAAAGAGGAGATTTCACCGAAAATTTCGACGATGGTCTCTCTCTAGATACACAACTGCAACAGACAACCGCATCGGTTCGATAGTTATAACGAGTACTTTAGCGGTTGTCGAACGAGATAGTCGTTGTGAAAAACGCCGCAATGTGGAAATACTTTAATAAAGGGACGACAAGATTATTAAAAGTCGCAGTTCTTCGGTGCTATTAAATATTATTACGAAACTAACAGACATACGTACACTGAGAGAAAATACTTGAAAATTTATTTGTGGGATATAATGTTTATTTCAGCGAAATAAATTTTTATCCCACAAATAAATTTGTGAGTATTTTTTTCTCGATGTATATATATTGATTTGAAGACCCGTATTGCGTTTTGCAACTAAAGAAACGGCTCAAATTGTGACCGCGGAACATACAAGTATCTCTGAAAAAGAGATAGTTGGAAATTGATTTTTTGGATATAAAGTTTATTTCTGCGAAGAAATTTTGTATCCCATGAATAAGTTTTCAAATAATTTTTTCTCAGGATACATACGCACAGGAAAATATTACTCTACTGCCAAGAAAAACAATCACTTGATTTATTTTCCTTCTTTTAAGTAAGAGTCATCTTTAACAAACGATATTTTCTCATTAATAGTATTAAAGTACATTAATGACAAATTTTTTTCTACAGAAGTTAATTATCACGTATTCAAAAGAAGAATTCATTCATTTTACAAGAATATATAAGAATAATATTTTACAAGAATACTTTATAATAATACTTTGTGAAATATACACTTCATAAAATATTCTTTATAAAAAAGAACTTTCTGTTTTAATTTTTTAGTGTAATATTTTTTAGTGAAATGTTCACTAGAAATCAAAGTGTATTTTGAATGAATTCGATACTTATGATGAACTTGTGATAGATTTGCGGATGTATAAACTTATGAAATACTCGAGACAAATAACATTTACTTTAATGCAGCATGTCTTTTTCTGTGTGCGTTTATTTGTTTTGCAATATTTCAGACCGCCGAAAAATTGCACCCTGGTCGAAAAATTGCAACCTGTGGCCTTAGGGAGAACATACATCTTGACATAAAAGTAGAAAGACAGAAGACAGTCAGAAGTCGCGCTGGTAAAAAGTAGAAACTGTCGACCATCTGAGTATCAGAGCGAGTTCTGATTGGTCTGCTTTCTGCTTTTCTGCCTAGGTGTGAATTCTCTCCTAAGAGGATGCCAAAGTGGATGACGAGCTGCAAAAATGTCGACAAATAGAGACAGCCGACATGACTATGCTATTTTTCTTGAATTTATAATGTATATAATAGATTTTATATGAATGTGCGCTACATTTTGTCATATATTTAGCAGAAAATTCACGCGCGCATATAGGAATCTTTCTGCAAAAGTTTCGTATATTTCTGAATTTCCAAATTCACTTGTAAAGATACGGAAATATTTCTGGAAGTTTTCCTGAGCGGAGCGAACGCACGTTTGGTATGTACAAGCTGCAGAACTCTTGTATCAGACAAATATTTACAACTCGAGATATAAATTTTGAAATTTTTTATCGTTTTCGTTACATATTGAGCAACGTCCCAATTCATTTCTGCACATGTTCTCACGTGTGTTCTGTATAATGCAAAAATATTTTGTGTAATGCAAAAATATTTTGTCGCCGCGCGAATAACCGCAAGCAGGTCATAGCAAAGTGCGTGGCGCGCGATATGTCGTTTCTAAAAATGGAAGAAAGAAAACGATTTACGACTATGCATGCGATAGCGTGAAGCTGTCATTATCGAAATTGCCGGTCAATTTCCGAGTGCGGTTTTACGCTGTCACGAGAAAACTTGGCGCGCGCGGAATCGGTCGCGTTTCGCCAAACGGAATTGCGACAGCGCGCGGGATTCTGCCATCAATTAATTTTGCGATCTCGACGCGCGAATCTTGAGATCCTCCGTTTCCTTGTCCCCCTTTCCCCGTCGAAGGGTTCGAAGGCGAGTTCATAAAGCGAGGTCACGACTGTCAAATCGTGGCCGCTCTTTCGACTCGCTCGCTCACGCGAGCAACTCGGGCGATTCGTTATACGAGGCGGAAGCGCGGGGCGATACCGGAAGCCGGCATTCGATGTCACAATAACAAGTCGACGTGAAAAGATGAAATGGCTCGCGTTGGGAAATCATTCGCGTTACGCGAATGTCCGTGCCGGACACATATATATCGTCCGACGCGATTTCACGTCACGAAAAGACCGGCCTTTTCACTCAAAAAGGGATATATAAATCACAAAATACAAAAATCTAGAAGCACAATAAGTCCAATTGTAGTTGTTGTACTGAGAGAAAAAATATCTGTCAAATAAGAAATATTTATTCGGCGGCTACTGATAACAACATTTACTTGTATTAATACAAAATAAGATATTTTAAATGTATAAAATGTTTGTATTATTCGTATATACGAAACATTTTTCTCAAATAAAAAAATATATATTTTTCTATATATTTTTCTATATATTTTTAAATATATATTTTTTTTCTTAAAAGCTTAACCTTTCCATGAAGGTAACCGTTTGTTTTATTTAAATAAAAGAATTTAGATTCAAATAAACGTGCTATTACTGCCTATCAAATAAATATTTTTTACTTTTAAATATCTTTTCTCTCAGTCTGAGGATGTATATGTGTGTGTGAAAATAAAATATTTTGATAATGATAAATATTTTGATAATACAAAAAAAATATAATTATGTTCAGAGTGGAATCTTATGTTATGGCGCCAAGAGCTTTTTATGAAAGCAACTTGTTTTATTTCAATAAAAGATTTGAATTAAACGTAATTAGTGTTTATTGAATGAATTTTTTACTTTTAAATATTTTTTCTCTTAGTCTGAGTGCAAAAAAATATTTTGGTGAGATAAGTATAATCTTATTCTTATTCTCTCCTTGCGTTATGGCCTCAAAAGGAGATTCTTTCAAAACTAAAAAGAAAATATACTAACACAAGCC